CTGAGTCAGGGCACTCCCAGTGAAGCCTTTGTGAGAGCTCTTCCCTGCCCTGAGGTCTCTGGTATTTATTCATCCCTGGTTAGGAAGATCTGCTTGCCTTTCTGAGTCCCACGCTGAGATCCACTCCGAGTGGGTAGGGCAGGGTGGGGAGGCACGTTGGACTGCCTCTGAAAATTAAATGTCTCCAAGACTGATGGATGGCTTGAAGATCTCTTTGGAGATTATATCAAAAATTATTGATTGTGTTACTAAGTCATAGCAAATAGGCACTGAGGTTGGGAGCTAAGTGCTTTTTTTTAAAATAATCTAGAAGCAGTAGAATAAATCAATGTGCAGAGCATCTAAAACACCATAACTATCAGGTTGGCTTCAAAAAGAGCTTGGCTTCTATGTGGAAAAAGCCGTACTGTTTTGTTTTTTCAAAAAGCATCTTAACAGTCATCTTGTCATTCTAAAACAAGGAAGTGAAAAAAATATCTTTATTATTTCAATGAAAAAAACATTCAGGGCTTTTAAATTAGTTTCTGTCAGGGGTTTTTTTGCCTTTCTATTTTTTTCTTAGTAAAGATACAAAAACCTCATGAGATGCTTTGGTTTCGAGAACTGAAATACCATATGATCTTACTTATAAGTGGAACCTAATCAACAAAACAAACAAGCAAGGAGAATATAACCAGCAACATTGAAAGAAAAAACAAAATGACAGTAACCAGAGGGAAGGCAAGGCGGGAGAGGGGTAATGGGGAAAAGAAGGGGAAGGGTCAAGTCAAGGAACATGTATAAAGGACCCAGGGACAAAGCCAAAGTGGGGAAGGATTGAGGGTGGGAGGTGGGGGTGGGAAAATGGAGACAAATGTATTTGAAAAATTAAAAAAAAGAAAAAGAAAAAAGAACTGAGGCCAAGCAGCTTAATCCTGCTGTTTGTTTTGTTTTGTTTTGTTTTGTTTTGTTTTGAGTTTTAGTACACAATAATACTGTTCCACATCAGTATGGTTTGCAGTTGTTTCTATTTGCATTTAAGACCACTGATTTTGTTTTATATGAAAAAAATTCCAGCAGTGTATCTTGCTGAAAGAAAAACTTTGTATGCAAAGTACCAATTCTGGAACAGTTAAATTGAAGAATGTTTTTTCATATTGTGAAAGCATTCTGTGCTTTGAAGGATTCACCAGAAGGGTTGTAAAAGTAACTGTCCCCTTTGGGTACTTCAATGTTTACTTATAAACAGTTAACTACTTATAGGCAGGGAGTAGCACCAGGGAGAGTAATAAGATGTCAGAAAATGATGATCACTGCAAAATGATGATAAACCACTGCTCTCAAATTTTTACGTAACTCAGAGAAAAAGAATTCAAGTAACACATGTTTCTGTTTGCTACCAGCTCTGAACCTGGGATATCCAAGACCTGGTATTAGGAAAATCACTTCATCTTCATGAGCTTCAGTTTCCTCATCTGTAAACTCAGGAGATTGGAGCAGTTGGCCTTTAAGGCTCTTTTGACTCTGTCTAATTTCTTGATTCTGTTTTCTGAAGTAAGATGTGTTTATTTGGGAGGTTTGGAAAGTGAATACAGTAAAGGCTTCTGGGCCTCTGATTACATCTGGACCTTAATGCTCTGTTCAGCAAACGGGTATTGTGTGCCTTCTCTGTGGCACATGCTGTCCTGGGTGCTGGGAATAGGATGAGCCACAGATGCTGCTCCTTCCATCAGGTTTCCCTTAGTCTGAGTTTAGGGTGGTGATGGGGGGAAGGTGGACAGACTAAAAAAAAGTTCAGTTGAACTGAATTTGCCACTGGGGCCGTCTTCTTCCCTGATGACCATGGATTCCAACTCTCTGAGCAAAGTGTCAGCAAATCTGCTCTCATAGGCAGTACCCTTGGCATAGAATAGTGAGTGGGAAATAAGGCAGAAACTGAATTTATATTTCCCTGGAGATGCTGGGAGTGATTCCCCTTTCTGCTCTGAGACAGTGTACATGGCCTTTGGTCATTCTCTTATGAGAGCCATGTCTCATTCCACTATGTTCATAGTGAACCTAAAAATACCTCCCTATTCTTGGAGGAGGGAAGCATTCTCAGATGGTGAAATAAAAAAGTCTGTTGAAGCAGAGGGATGTTATTAAGGCTCCTGCTGGTTTACATCCGTGATTTCTACAGAGGGCTCTCTTGGTTCCCCACGCTCCACAAGAAGCATCTCCTGTTGTATAGGTCCCATTCTGCTGGGTAGGATATTTGAACCTACTATATCCAAGCTACTGCTTCACACACTTAGCACCTGAGGTATTTCCTAAGAACAGACAGCAGAGGAATTGCATCTGAAATTAACTTCTTTTAGAATAAGTTATCCCATCTTTCTGCTTTTTGTTTCTAGTATCTATTCCGCTTATGAAATCCCTATGTTAAACTGTACTCTTTCTACCTGCCTGCTCAGTGTTTCCTGGATATTAGTGCAGGTGAGAACAGCAAGACATACTTTTACCCCCAGTTGGAACGAGGGAAATGCACGTGTGGAGTTATGCTTTATGAGAGTCTCTTGAAGGACAGAGTTGCGGAGAAAAAGAGAGAGACACCTTGTTTGGTGTGGAGAGAGCTTGAGTTCTAATTCAGCCTCAGCTACTGGGAAAATGAAGTTTGATGGGCTCATCTAGCTAGAGAGAAGGTATAAGGACATATGCCTTGCCAACCCTGGATATGAAAGCATTTCATGCAGTAGTTCCCTTATTATCCATGGTTTCACTTTCCAAGGTGTTAGTTACCCAGAGTCAACCTCAGTTCAAAAATATTAAATGGAAAATTCCAGAAATAAACAATTCATAACATTTAAATTGGGCGCTGTTCTGTGTAGCTTGACAAAACCTCATTCCATCCTACCCTGGACGTGAATCGCCTTCTTTGTCTAGGTTATCTACGCTGTGTATGCTCCCAACCATTGGTCTGGTAGTAACCACCATCTTGATTAACAAGTCAACTCTCATTGTATTCCAGTGTTCAAGTAACCCTTATTTTGCTTAATAATGGGCCCGAAGTGTAAGAGTAGTGATGCTGGCAATTCAGATATGCCAAAGAGAAGCCATAAAGTGCTTTGTTTAACTGAGAAGGCATATATGTATAGGAAAAAAGATTGTGTATACAGGGTTCAGTACAGCTTGTGGTTTCAGTCATTCACTGGGAGGTCTTGGAAACTATCTTTCTTAGATAAGGGGAGACTACTGCAAACTACAAAATAATTTATAATATTTTAGAAAGTTTAAATTCAGTAGTGTATTTTTCAGTGTATAGCTAGTAATTGGAACTAGTTTAAAACCAGAAAGGAGATAACTAAATAGAGAAGCTGGGCATCAATGATAAATGTTGACTAGTTTAATAGAATTAAATTATGACATATATATGTTTCTAGGAGGCTTTATTTCATTCTTGTTATAAATAATTTAAAGAGAAAGACGGTGTGATGAAAAGAACCATGGCGGAAAAAAAGCATGACTATTACAATAAGAGAACCCAGGTTTGAGATCGCGCTCGGCTGCTTACCAGTGGGGAGACATCTGTTGAGTAGGATGGTGTTCCATCCAAATAGTTAACTTCTTTTTCAGTTTTCCAACATGTAGTTTGGTAGAATAGGACCTATCTATTAGGGTTGTTGTAAGGATTAAATATAACAAAGTGGGAAAATGCCGGACACGTGCCTAGCTCACAGTGTGCAAAAGGATGCATTTCCCATTTCAAATTTTCTCCACATACTTCATGGATAAGAAAGGGAATGTGAGGTCCTGCAGAGTACGCCTTCATGGAAGGACTCATAAACTGGGGGATTCTAAAACTCTGATCCAACAGGATGTAAATAGACTTAGCTCTTCCTTGTTAAATAGCCCCTTTCCCCGAACTTCTATTTTTAAATACTTGACAGATTTCAAAATAGGAAATATATGTTTATCTTTTAATCTACATAGTCATAGAACTGTGGTTGCTGTGGAAATTTAATAGATCGATAAAATATTTGAAAGTAATTCCTTAAATTACTCTTAAGAAAAATTTTCTTGTAATTCTTTAATTTTTTTTTCCACAAAATCTTTCTTACCTTTCTTGTTCTGAATAGCGCACAGTCCCCTCATGGATATTACTTAGATGGTAAAAATTCTTAAAGGTGGTCCTTTCTGCTTCATTCTTTACAGGGTGCTTTGTTCATTTTCATAATTGGATTCATAGTTGGATTATGCATAAATCTTGATGAATTTAAAAGTCAGCACAACAAAAGATGGTGTATCTTGGATGCATTTCTTTAAAAGATAATAATTGTAAATTAATTATGTACTCATTAATGAATAATGTTAATTGAAGAAATATTAGAAAATGAACATATGCCCCAAATCCCACTACACTGCTAATCCTCTTGAAATGTAAGAATTCAGTTGTACATTAGATGTTTAAATAATGATAGCTTCATACCACATACACTGTATTATTATCTTTTTTCACTTAGCATTATATCTTATCATATCTGAAAATACTTATCTTTTTAAATAGTTATTTTTAGTGGTTGCATAGTATTTCACTTTATGAATGTGCCAAAGCTTATTTGATTCTTTATTGAGCAATTAGTATCTTTTTGATTTTTTTTGTATTTTAAACTGAGCTATAAGAATACACTTGTATAATTATTTCCATAGGATAATTGCCTAGAAATAACTCTAAGTCAAAAGTAAATGCACTTTTTAAGGCTTCCAGTACATATTTCTAAATTGAGCTTCAGAATGCAAGAAATCTTGTACCAGTGATTAAGTCTGTCAACAGTGTAAAAGTGTCACTTAAAAATAAATGAGCTGAAGTTAAATCTTAGTAATTTTGAATTACTTGTCATCTCATAGTGGAATTCCTGTTTTAGGGAAAAAAATTATTAGTAAAAAATTTAACAGGACTGTTTCATAACAGTTATTTCCTATTTCCTCTCCCACTTTCCTCTAGTTAATTTGTCTTTTCTCTCTCTCTCTTTTTCCCTCTCCAGGATGGAAGTATGATGTGATGGATATAACTATGGGATACTGTGTGGGTACGCGGCCTCCTCCTTCTTGCCTCATCCTCCTGCTTCTCAAGCTCTTGGCCACTGTCTCCCAGGGTCTGCCGGGGACCGGGCCCGTGGGCTTCCACTTCACACATTCCATCTATAATGCTACGGTGTATGAGAACTCAGCAGCACGGACCTACGTCAACAGTCAGAGTAGAATGGGCATCACCTTAATTGATCTGTCCTGGGATATCAAATACAGAATAGTATCCGGAGACGAGGAAGGCTTTTTCAAAGCAGAGGAAGTCATAATTGCAGATTTCTGTTTTCTCAGAATAAGAACTAAAGGTGGCAATTCTGCCATATTGAATAGGGAAATTCAGGACAACTATTTATTGATAATAAAAGGTTCTGTCAGAGGAGAGGATTTGGAAGCATGGACCAAAGTGAATATTCAGGTTTTAGATATGAATGATCTGAGACCCTTATTCTCACCCACAACATACTCTGTTACAATAGCAGAAAGCACACCTTTAAGGACGAGTGTCGCCCAGGTGACAGCAACAGATGCGGATATTGGTTCCAATGGAGAATTCTACTACTACTTTAAAAACAAAGTTGATCTCTTTTCAGTTCACCCCACGAGTGGTGTCATCTCTTTAAGCGGACGATTAAATTATGATGAAAAGAACAGGTATGACCTGGAAATTTTGGCTGTGGACCGAGGGATGAAACTCTATGGGAACAATGGAGTGAGCAGTACTGCAAAGCTTTATGTTCACATTGAACGAATAAATGAACACGCCCCAACTATCCATGTAGTCACTCATGTACCTTTCTCACTGGACAAAGAGCCAACATATGCGATGGTGACAGTTGATGACCTAGATGAGGGGGCCAATGGAGAGATCGAGTCTGTTTCCATTGTGGCTGGGGATCCTTTAGATCAGTTCTTCCTGGCTAAGGAAGGAAAGTGGATAAATGAATATAAGATTAAAGAGAGAAAGCAGGTTGACTGGGAGAGCTTTCCATATGGCTACAATCTCACTCTCCAAGCAAAAGACAAGGGGTCGCCGCAGAAATTTTCTGCCATAAAGGTAGTCCACATTGCCAACCCCAAAAGACACACTGCCCCAATTAGATTTGAAAAAGAAATGTACGATGTGAGCATTAGTGAATTTTCCCCTCCTGGTGTTGTGGTTGCTGTAGTAAAATTAAGTCCCGAACCACTAGATGTGGAATATAAATTATCTCCTGGTGAGGATGCGCAGTACTTCAAAATTAATCCTCGGTCAGGTCTGATTGTCACAGCACAGTCACTTAATACCGTTAAGAAGGAGGTTTATAAACTGGTGGTGACAAACAAGGAAGGAGATTTAGAAGCACAAGTCACCATTGGCATAGAAGATGCAAATGACCACACCCCAGAATTTCAGCAGCCAGTGTATGATGCTTTTGTGAATGAAAGTGTTCCAGTGGGAACAAGCGTTTTGACAGTTTCAGCTTCTGATAAGGATAAAGGAGAAAATGGGTACATCACCTATAGTATTGCCAGCCTGAATTTGTTGCCATTTGCTGTTAACCAGTTTACCGGGGTCATTAGCACAACTGAAGAACTGGATTTTGAATCCTGTCCAGAAACTTACAGGTTCATTGTCAGAGCCTCTGACTGGGGTTCCCCATACCGCCATGAAAGTGAGGTAAATGTGACTATTCGAATAGGAAACGTCAATGACAACACCCCTCTCTTTGAAAAAGTGGCTTGCCAGGGAGTTATTTCATATGACTTTCCAGTTGGGGGTCACATCACAGCTGTCTCAGCAATAGATATTGATGAACTTGAACTTGTAAAGTACAAAATCATCTCTGGAAATGAACTTGGTTTCTTTTATTTAAACCCAGACTCTGGTGTTTTACAGCTTAAAAAGTCACTGATGAATTCTGGTGTTAAAAATGGTCAGTTTGCCCTCAGGATTACAGCTACAGATGGAGAAAATTTTGCAGATCCCATGTCTGTTAACATTTCAGTCCTGCATGGGAAGGTGTCTTCAAAGAGCTTCAGTTGCAGAGAAACTCGTGTGGCTCAAAAGCTGGCAGAGAAACTACTCATGAAGGCAAAAGCAAATGGGAAACTGAATCTGGAAGATGGATTTCTTGACTTTTATTCAATGAATAGGCAAGGACCACATTTTGACAAGTCCTTTCCTTCTGATGTGGCTGTGAAGGAGGATCTGCCAGTTGGTGCCAACATCCTGAAGATTAAAGCCTACGATGCCGACTCTGGCTTCAATGGAAAGGTGCTATTTACAATATCTGATGGCAATACGGATAGTTGCTTTAATATTGACATGGAGACTGGGCAACTTAAAGTCCTTATGCCCATGGATCGAGAGCACACAGACCTCTATCTCCTTAATATCACCATCTATGACTTAGGTAATCCACAGAAATCTTCGTGGAGGTTGCTGACCATCAATGTGGAAGATGCTAATGACAATAGTCCAATATTTCTTCAAGACAGTTACACAGTTAACATTCTTGAAAGTTCAAGTATTGGTACTGAGATTATTCAAGTGGAAGCCAAAGACAAAGACTTGGGTTCTAATGGTGAAGTAACTTATTCAGTCTTGACAGATACACAGCAGTTTGCCATCAATAGCTCAACTGGAATTGTTTATGTAGCTGACCAGCTAGACCGGGAATCGAAAGCAAATTACTCATTAAAAATAGAAGCCAGAGACAAGGCAGAAAGTGGCCAGCAGCTCTTTTCAGTTGTCACTCTTAAGGTTTTTTTGGATGATGTCAATGACTGCTCCCCAGCTTTCATTCCCAGCAGCTACAGTGTGAAGGTTCTTGAAGATCTCCCCATTGGCACTGTCATCGCTTGGCTGGAGACGCACGATCCAGATCTTGGACTGGGAGGTCAAGTGCGTTATTCTTTGGTCAATGACTATAATGGGAGGTTTGAAATAGATAAAGCAAGTGGCGCCATTCGCTTGAGCAAAGAGCTAGACTACGAAAAGCAGCAGTTCTATAACCTCACCGTTCGGGCCAAAGACAAAGGGCGGCCTGTCTCTCTGTCATCTGTTTCTTTTGTTGAAGTGGAAGTGGTGGATGTCAATGAAAACCTCCATACCCCCTATTTCCCAGACTTTGCTGTTGTTGGATCTGTAAAAGAAAACTCACGTATTGGAACAAGTGTGCTGCAGGTGACTGCCCATGATGAGGACTCTGGGAGGGATGGAGAGATCCAGTATTCCATCAGGGATGGCAGTGGTCTTGGAAGGTTCAATATAGATGACGAGAGTGGTAAGTTTAATTTTTTGTGTCAGAAGTGTTGTTTCACCTCTCACGAATCAACATTGGAAAAGTAAACGGATATTCTCACACACGAAAACAGAATGACAAGTGAGGTTGCATTTGGTGCAGAGATGACACAGTAAAAGCTTTTCCTTAGAATGTGTTGGTTTGTTAGACCTGTTCATACAGTGATAGCCTTCGTTTTCAGTAGGAGTCCTTAATTTTTTTTCTTGTTTAGTCCTATTACCAGGTTATCTTTTGATAAGCATTAAGTAATTTTCACCTCTGTTGATTGCACTTTTTGACTTTCACTAAATTAAGGGTCCTGATAAAGTGAATTACATTTGAATTGGCTTTAAATTAGAAGTGTGAAATGGATTTTCAAATGGATCTATATACTAATCTTTCCCTTTATGGTTATACGTTGCTGGTGATACTGCATCAGTTGCTTGGTCTTTCATGTTTCACAGGCACATCTGGCCCTTGAACGACAGGCATTTGCACTGTGTGTGCCCCATTTGTGTACAGAGGTGTGCATCTACAACTGTTTTTATGACAGACTAGAACAGGCATGTTGTGGGTTTTATTATTTTTAATTCATTTTAAGATTTTATTTGAAGGAATTGATTGTTTAATACTTTTATATATGGGCAAAATTTACCCAATAATATTACTGTCCCCTACCTATTTATTTACTCTCCATTATAGATACAGATATGTATATTTTTTCTATTCTAGTTATTCTTATTCTTTGTCCTTAAGTGTACCTGTGCCTCAACATGTGCATATGTGTTTGTGTTTCTTGAATAACAACATCCATTTTTCTAGTCTCCTGTAGATTGTAGACATCTCAAGACAGGGGCTATCTATGTCTTTATTCTTGTGTAAGTGGTTATATTAGCATGTTTACAGTCTTCAGGACATAATTTATATATATTAAATCATTTTCAACAACATTCATAGGGTGTTTTTTCCCCAGTAATGATGATGATAATTAAAACAGGGAATGTAAAGGTCCATTATAGGGATAGTAACTGTACATCAATAATAATAGAAAAAGGATTTGAGAAATTGTATTAAGTATTGGATAGGGTTACAAAATATGTATCCTCACAGATTTAAACTGTAATTTTTATATACATGGCTGTAATTATAGATAGTGTAAATTATAAAATTTGTCTTAATAGCTGTAATAAAAGAAAAGGTGAATGTCAAGAAAACTGGGTTCTGATTCAGCCACCTACACTTTTTTATTATATGTAACTTGCTATTCGATTGGAATATATTTTCACCTTTGAAATATAAAATGAAAAAGACAGGGAAGTAGCTCATACTGGCTGTCTACTCTGTGCTAATACTTTGCTATTATTAATAATGACTTCTTTGAATACTTAAAATGGGTAGCACACTGTTTCAAGGGCTTTATATGCCTTATTTATTCCTCCCAATAGTCCTGTGAGTAGAACTAACAATGAATTCATGAACTGACATTCAGAGAGGGTAGGTAACTTGGAACCTAGTTTCAAACTTAGCTGTGAGTACTGCAGTATACTATGCTGCATCTAAAGGCAAGTACAGGCTTCCGTGCATGTTCCTCAACGCACAAATTTGGTATTGATCTAAAATCTGTAAGGCAATAAAGTATTAAACAAGTTTTGAAGACCTTAAACCCTGAGCTCATTGGCTGATGAGACAGGTCATTAATCACCCATCCTTTTTCCTTAGAGTCCCATTGTTTGTGTGGCTCTCCAGTTAGAGAAGCTTACCTTTGGGATTCAGATAGATGTGGGTAGGTAGGTCAGCAGGACGGTGTTAGACTGAATCATTAACCACTGCTAGCTAGATGAGTGCATTAAACCACATTGAATTGTTTTATTAGGAAGTTTCATCTTGATGTAGTAGCTTGATACAGAGAAAAAGATCAATTTGGTGAGAGTGACCTAGATTTCCCCCATTTTGTTCTCATTCTGGGTTTCAGAAAACATTTTTCTGAAAGTAACATCCAAAATGTATAGTTTTATCTGATGATATAGCTGCCCTTATAACTCTTGACTCCAAGATTTTGATATCCTTTACCTCAGTGGAGAAGACAGCTCACTGTTCTGCATTTGTCCTGTTAGATTCTGGAGTGCCTAAAGTAAATTTTGTCATAGATGATAATAGTGCCACCTACATTTTGACATTGTTATGTGACTTAAAAAGCTCTTTCTTGGAAACACTAATTCCCCTGGTTTAAAGAGAAGCTTTGGGAGTTGTGTCAGGTCACATCTCCACAAGAGGGTCTAGATGGATCTAGAACGCACATCTCTCCTCAGTCATAATTCAGTGCTCTCTCTTTGTGTGTGTGTGTGTGTGTGTGTGTGTGTGTGTGTGTGTTCATTACATATGTTTCTGATTTACTTTCCCAGACAATTTTTAATTTTTAAAGCTATAGTAGCAGCGTCTTTTTTTTTCGCTTTTTATTTTGTTTACTTCTCCTAGAAAATAAAACTATGTTTCTTTTTAACATTATAGAAAAAAGAAAGGTTTGGACTTGATTTTGAAATTTTTAAATGAAGTTTAGAATTTTCATATAATACCATTCTTAATCGTCTTACTATCTCCCCTCTTAGCTCTTACAGATTTTAACAGCCAAGCCCAAGAAGCTGATGAGGAATGATTGCCTGAACTTGTGCCAGGGAGATCCAGGGTTAAGAGGAAATTTGGCAAATGTATGCCCAAGAAGGGAAGTCATCACCATGGTGCTGTTGGGTTTACACTACTGTTGAGTGATCCATCAGCTCTTGGCTTCCCAGTGTTCAAAATCATGGCTTGAGCTGTTGGCAGAATGAACAGTTATTTATCGCTGCAGCTGTTACTGAGTCTCAAGTTCAGACTCTGTTGTCTTCATTTGACCCTTGGGCATAGAATGGCCTCAACTTGTTTGGATTTTTGTCTTTCAAGAAACTTTAAGTCATCTGCCAAAGGTTACTTAACAACTCACGTTGTTTAGTGGTTCTCAAATTTAGGAGTACACGTGTATCAGCAGCAGAGTTTGTTAGCAATGCAGATTCCCAGGGCCGAGTCCCAAAGATTCCAATTCAGTAGGTCTAAGGTGGGAGCCCAGGAATCTTCATTTAAGCACTCCAAGCATTCCTTTTGCATGTGGTTTGGAAGCACTACCCTAAATTTACTTGGGCTCTTCAGAGAGTGTCTACCAGATTTTGTCTTTTCTGTAAAGTCCTTTTCTTTGTTCTTTTTGAAAAGCAGGGAATTGAGCTTATATTTTAGATAAATTCCTTTAGTAGTCAAGTTTTACAATCCAAATAAATCTTCTATTATTCATTAGCAGTGATAGTTTTCTGAATGCCTTTCCAATGGATCAAAGATCTATTTCTGGGCTTCAGTGATTGTGTGGTCCTGTTCTGTTGAAACTGCATATGCTGGGATTAGTTGATCCATTTAGTAGTTTTGTGTACTTAACTTTTTTGGAACTTGGTGAACAAAACCACGTCTTTGCAATCCTTTACCATGCACAGGCATTTAATAAATGTTTGATAATGTTCACAATAAATGGATTAACTATGGGGCCCAAACACAGTGGATTTGATCCCAATTTAAATTACTAGTCTGGAAGATGCAATATAATCTTTGTTTCCTTCACTAAGAATGCATTCTCATTCTTTGACACATCAGGAACTCATATTCTTGAGTACTCAAGTTTTAGATGGTTTAGAAAGAGCACGCTGTTTCTTTTAAACTGTTATTTTCTATTAGATTCTTTTGCAAGCTGCAAACTGAAGCAATGGTTTCACCATTTTATTTACCTGAGCTTAAAGAAATACTTAATTGGGATAAACAATTTTTAGTTTAGGACATAAATCATGGATAATTGGGAAGATATTTTTGCCATCCATTATTGCTAATTATATATATATATATTTTCCATTTATCAGGTATCTGTTGTGTGCCAGGCACCGTGCTAGCTGCTTTGTGGATACTATTTCTGATTGTCACAGTAGTTCAGCAAGGTGGAGTTTAATGTTGTTTGCTCAGTTAGGGTCATGCACCTGGAAGTTATCAGAGCTGGGATGGAACTCCAGAAATGGACACCAAATATCATGTTAGTTCCCTTCTTTCCACTCCAGCATACCATACCATAATAACCTTGTCAAGCATATGTATTAGGCAAATTTTTCTGTATTACTGCTGCATAACAAACAGACACAAAATTTCAGTGGCTTGTCGAAACAGACATTTTTCCCTTGCTCCTGAGTCTGGGGAACAGTTGAAGCAGCACTGTTGCAGGCTATGAACTGAGTTACAGTATGTCTCATGCGTCTTCCCATTGCGGGATGCAGGCCGAAGGAGTACAGAAACTATCTGAGAGCTGATGTTCTCAGAGTGGAGGTCGGAAGTGCCAGGGGGCTGCTGGAAGCTTGCAGTGCTTCTTAAACCCCTGCTCAAAACTGGCCCCCATTCTACTAGCCAAAGCAGGTCATGGGCCAACCTCAGCATTGAGGCAGGGAAGGGAAGAATATTTAGAGAGGGAAGAAGGGAGAGAAATGAGTAACTACTTAAAAATAATAATACAGCCTGACATAGTATATGACAGCTCTCACTATGGTTTTTATAGTCTAAAATTAATTGGGTGCTACCTGTGTTTATGGCACTGGGCCAGCCACTAGTGACACATACAACTACAGGTGTATAATGGGAAATTTCCCAGTGTCTCTGAGAGGTCAGAATGCAGCTGCAGGTGATGATGCCTGTGGCGATGGCAGCGGAGGTTAACAGTGACTGAGTACCATCTCTGTAACAAGTTCCGTGCAAATGCTATGTACAGATCGTCTTGGTCAGCATCCCAGGAGGTAGGGACAGTTGTTTTCTTATTTTTACACCTCTGGTATTTTAAGAGGAAAAACACATCTACCACACATATGCATTTATTTTTATCTTTCTTTATATGGAGGTTCTAGCCGGCATTTCTCCAACTAAAGTGAGCATAGAATGCTGTCTTTATTGCAAAT